TTAATTTTATACTATATATAGAAGTCTAATGCTTCTTTATGATTGCTTAACATACAATAAACAAAAGTATCAAAAGCATGCGGTTTAACTTTAAGGCTACTTTTTAAAGGCTGGTAATTTTTTGTCGCCTTTCCAGTATTGTTTCTGTCACTGTGGTATATTGTACGAACGAATCTTCAGTTTCGGTCGAGTTTCGAAAAAAAAAATGAGTTCCGGTCGTAGTTTCGGTTTCGGTTTACGAAATAAGTTAAGATGAAGCTCATAACTTAAATAACATAGATAGGGTGATTCAAAAGGAAGGTTTTTATGTATAATACAAATCACGCGGGCGAAGCCGCTGACGGAAGCTAGTTGTGATATAAGTAAACCTAAATAAGTAATTTCACGATCAATATTTATTAAAACTGTAAATGATATTCAAAAGAAGAATCTTATTATTAAAAAGACACCTCACCTATTTTTATGGCGCAATTTTATTTTTCTTAAATGAGGGGTTGTCATGTTAAGTTATATAAGTAAAAATGTCTGAAGACTGCATAGATATATGTTTCAAAGATAAAAAATAACCGCCTGCCTGAAAAATAACTAACAGATAATCGAGTGAAAGTCTTGGAACTTAAAAATAATTTATTTGTCTTATTAGTTAGACAAATTACTAGGTTCATCGAGAAAGAGAGAAAGTCCATATTTAAAAGTATTATTTTTATTGGTATTACGGTTACGGTAGTCATGATATACCTTTTTCTAAGCTTTTCAATTCGACACCCATATTTTAGTATATATTTTTTTAATTAAGTGCAATGGCGTCGCACGACCCCCATGTTTGATTTTCCTTAAAATCATCTATCTTGGACACTTGGACTGCTAAAACAAAACTAATGATACTTTAAGTATGTAAATCCGTTAAGCAGTTATGGAGATATGAGGTAATAAAAAAATAATACACTTCATGATAAAAGACACGCGCAAAACATAACCCTTCCTTTGCAGATGGATAAAAAATAAAAACTGACTGATTATAATAACGTTTTCCTTATTTTTCTTCAAAACATGATTCTCGTAAGGAAGTTTCGGTTTCTGATTCGGTTGTAAAAACCAGTTACGATCGGACTCTACTGTGGTCCTGTCATTTCTATGAAATCGCCGAAGTGACACGTATTCAAGGATTTTCAAGCACGGTGTAACACAAAAAGCACCAGTGTGCTCGTAGCCTAACTTTGCCTTCCTTCTCAGTTCGTCACACATTCACTCTTTCATTTTGTACTTTTAATTTTAACTAGCCGATTCCTAAGGATTTTTATCAACTTGTTACCTGCTTTTCTGACATCTTGCTGTAATTATTTTATTTGTAATCTGACTGACTTTCTTTGCGTATCAACATGTTTGGATGTTATTTCTTCATACATATCCACAAAAGCAACTAAAAGTTAGTGATTTTAGTTGTACGCATCCTCATAAGGATGTTAAAACCCTATCCAGTAGTGTTATTCTGTTATATAAACAGTCTCGGACTCGTCGTCGAACGGAGCGTAGTTGTTACAGTAACGTAACAGTTACGTCATAGAAGTTCAATAAAATAAAACCAACTTGAATAGGTAATAAAGGTTTAATTTCATTGAAGCTGTATTATGCAACAGCGCTGTGTTTAAGGAATTTCAGTTATGCTGAACCATGCGCTCGTAGTCAGCATATTGATTGTTATAGTATAAGAGATCGTGACAATAATGTCCAAGAGCTTGATTATCGGTAAGTTGAATTACTAGGGATATACATCTCAATACCCAGGGAGGAGGTAAGATGCTTGAAGATAATGAACACCTCAGTGCTGATTTATGTAACAATTTCTGTGAATTAAATTCCTGATATTGAATTTACAAAACTCTTTTTCGATGATTTTCACAACAACTTCTGAGACGTGCTGATCCGCGATTGTGCGTCCTGAGCTGTGCATCATTATTTAATCCAGCACATGATCTCTGAGTACTGACGCTTTACTGAGTGATGTTGAGATACCCTTATTAGCACTTCAACATACTGAAATATCAAGTTTTAGAAAACTTTTGCACATTTTTGTCACGAGTTCTCCGTTTATTATAAAAATTAGTTATACAAATGCATTGAACCTTTGCAAAATTGCATTATGAATTCGCTCATTCTGGACAAGGTCTAAGTCAGAAATAACGTGGGGCGGATGACGGGAGACACGTCTGTGAACGGGGGCGTCCCAAGCCTACCGACACGTGATACACGTCACGTCTGATGACGCAGGAGTCCCGACAGTTAGATTGCTACGTCCCAAGACCTTGGCTCCCCTACCCGCGACCTATGATGATATATGACTAACATATTGGCAATTTAATATCGTTGCTAAGTCGCAACGAAACACTCGACTGAACAATAACACAGATTAGATATTAAACAATAGTACACTAACAGGAGATTTTTTCTTGGAATCGGAACAAACGATTTTTATTCTTAAATTTAGTTTCGAGCTTGACTTTAGTAATGGCAATGTTGAGATTAGATGTCTGTGAAAATACTCGCAGTCAGAAAATCTAGTATTTAGCAAGTTTAAAATAAAAACGAAATGGAAACCGTGTATATTCTCTTTGTACGATAAGTCTAGAATACATACGTAAATTGATTGTTATAGGAAGACTTTTATTAAGAGGAACAATACAGTTGACAGTAACTTTACGCCTTTAAATATCATAGTTTAAAGTTCAATTTCGAACATCTGCTATCGCTGGTCAATAGTTGTCGTTCCGGCCATGATTCTAACTAATGGCAGTTTATTATGTCCTGCAGCCTTCATCCTTTGAAGATAAACCAGCCGTGACGATGATGATCTATGTTCTTTCATAAACGATTTTAAAAACGTGTAAGTAATTGAGGAAAATTCTAGGTTGATAATGTTTGTCTCTTGACTTAACTAATCTCTTTCACAATTAATGTTTACGTAAGAAATTTTCTTCATTTTATAGCAATTTCCTTGTAATCTAACAACTTGTCTATTATGTTGATAAGTACATCAATTGTCCGTATATTTAAACAGCAATTGCTACATTATCTGTGCTACGGTTGACCGATTATGCAAGTGGTACCTGTTGCATACTTTAATAATGGTGTTACAGCTTTGCTTGCGACAATTTCGATTCTACAGATTACCTATCCTCAATAGAATATTTATTATGGCCATTTATAATCCTGTGATTCACTCTGTTAGTTAAACCACTTCTTGAGCAACAAAAACATGCAACATTTCTAAAAATTTCATCAATTTATTGTTACATAATTTTAAAGCAACCTTAAAGTAGCCCGTATTTATCCAGTATCTACCGCATTAGGAAGGAATGTTGCGTATAATCCTTGCTCAAGTAGGTAGTAAAGACGTAGGCGCACTCGTAATGCTGGGTCAGTCAACCCAAAAAGGATTATTCAAAATAGTAATAAATAATAATGGAACTTATTTATTATATATATATGTGTATATTCATCCATCCTAAAATGTCCAATTACTTCATTGGATTATAAACCTTAACACTATAAAGGAAGAGTTCAAAACATGTTGTGCTGTTGTACGCACTGAAGAAAATAATAATTCTCTTCCAATCTGAGTTACTAGAGACAATCTGTCCTATAATAAGACGAGGTCTAACTTTAGTATCAGGTTTCCGATCAAAATAAGTCAACGCGTCTCAATTTCATGATTCCCGGTCGATGGTTTAAATCTTAAACCATTTTTGAACAGGGACGAATTCAGAACTCAAAAACGGTTAGTGTTATAAGGTGCTATCGAGCTATCCACCTATGTATATGACAAATCCAACCATGAAAATAAGTTGTGACGCCACAACTCTATTAGGGTTGTGTGCATGCCGATTGTGCCCATAACCGTGGATTCGCCTTTTTGTTTAAACCAAGACTTCCATAGTCGTAAAGTTATGTCAAAATAAAATCCGGATACAGTAAACGTATGATAACGGCAAATTCGTACAATCCGTTGTGTACTGGGGGCCAATTCTACTAAATAAATTTTGTTTAAATCGAATCGAAACGAAAATTTTTTTTTGTAGAAATTTTGATCGTCCGTTGGGTATCGGACGTCCATTCACAGTGCACGTTTATTTTTTGCGTTTGCAAATGTATTTAATATTACCAATAAAATTCAGTAACTAACCAAAATAAATACTACCTACTTTGGCATTTATAGATGATATTTTAAAGTATACCTACACCTTTCAGATAGGTATTAAAGTATCAAATACACAAAATATACAAAATATTTATTTTGCAAGTGCAACATGGCCATAATACCATAAAATTGTTATTATAAAAATTGTTTTCATTAATAACTAACAGTGTTATTAATAAACAAGGTTTAGCGTCAGAATAAATTTACGCTAAAATTTAAATTTTAGTATCAATACAAATTCATATTATACAGGGAATAAGCAAACCTATCATCTAGGAGTAAATATTATTCCCGTAGAAGCTTTACCAAGTCTCTGTTTAATAATATGAATTTTGACTACTACTAAGTGCGGTCACAGTGTAAATTTACTCTAACAGGTTCAGCCGTTCTCGAGTTTTAGCGAGACTAATGAACGGAAATTCGTTTTTATTTTTATATATAATAGATAGAGTTTATTCGAAGAAAAATTTTAAGTTATTTATGTTACTAAAATAATTAATAGGTAATGGTTTTGATTGTCTGGGTCTGTTGGGAGAATTTTGTGTATGTACTCCTTGGAAGCAATAACGTCAGTATAATTATTTTCATGTCCCTGGCTTTACGACCAACTACAGGAAAAATTAATTTGTCTGTGAGCCCGTACTCACGGTGATAAAATGTTAAAAGATTTCCCTAATATGTGGACATTTTCAACGTGAAACCATTATTTATGAGGCGCTTATTGGCGAAGTCGTATTTTATTTAAAAAATGTCAATGAAGGAAATTAATATTATTAGCATTTTATATTATTAGTAAGTATTATAACTTTCTTTCATTGGTTGGCTATTGTTGAAAACTTTGAATAATATTATTATTATAGTTATAAGTTTTGAGATAGAAATTAAAAAAAAAGACAAAATTGATAAATTAATATTAATCAGTTTTATTTCCCAAATACAATAAACTTCCTATTTCTCTAATGGTGCATAATTCAAAAGTTTTTCAATAAGATCCACGTGCCCTAACAGCATGCGTCTGCAACAGTACCTCTTCAAACCGAGTGCATCCAAAGCGTCACTGGAACAAAAACAAAACGTGTTATTTATTTATGAGAAGAAATTAACTAAATATTGGTTTTAAGAAGTATATTTTCTATTCTTCCTAATGTATTAGATCACATTTTTTTTCTGTAATGAAAATAGATATGAAGGCGTGCATATTTCAAAACATATTTATCTAGAACTATTTGTAAGCTGCTTTGTAAGGAAACCCTCAGTGGGCGAATCCATCTCGCACTTGTCTGGTGTTGAGTCAATTGAAAGTTAAAATTTAAGCGGCCTATTAAGTAAGCCAAAGTCTTTGATTTTACTTTCCACACAGTTCCATATGAATATACTTACTTACTTTTGTACTCACTTACTTTTGTAAGTGATTGAACTAAAAATTTAAAAATAAAACTCGAGTACCTACCCAATTGAAAAATTCATATTGTTGTACAATAAGCGTGGGGCTTGATTTTCATTGCTGTTAATATTTAAACGATAGTTTAGTATACCTGTAGTAATTATAATAAACACCCCAATTTCTAATTCCTAATTCGATTTTACCGGAAGGGTTTTGTTTCCTCAGTTGCGATTCGAGAAATAAAATATGGCGGTACGAAGTATATTTTGTTTTTAGATAACAGGCGAGGTTAAACATAACAAAAACAGTAAGGACAGAGGAAATAATTAAGGTAATTCTGTGAACATTTCAAAATGTGTCACCTACACAAAGATAAGCGATTTTACGATGGAAATTCGTCAAACTTCAGTACCATTGTCATTTCACGCGCCGGTTTAATGATATACAAACAATTATGTATAGTTTTTTTTTTAAGCAAATTGTTCATTCCTCGGTAATAGCTATGTTTAGCAGAGTAATGTGGTTTGGCGTGATTTTCATGAAATGTTATAATTTATGTGAACTAAAATTATCTATTGTTTTTGTTTTAAATGACATTTGGCATTTTTAATTACATTCAGAAGAATGCTCTGAATGTATTTATAAATATATTAATACAAGTATTTTTAAAGTGTCTTGTTTGGTTTAAAGATACAAGTTTAAATTCAATCTTATAGCCATTATAAATCTCAAAATCGATTATCTTTGAACTTAGTTTTAGTAATGCCATATAAGTCTTTGAATTATTTCTGTTTTATATTACTACATTTACATACATGGTTAAGTCTGCATATTTCGAAGACAAAAATACATGCTTTTATGTTTATCATTTCTTTAGGATTTTATCTAATAAGCTTCAGAATAACGGGTATTTAAATACTTTTCAATTTTTTCGTCAGGCAATTTTTATTAAAAAGTGCATAAAAATTAAAAACGCTCAGAAGTCATGCTATTTTTCAGAACGGATGTGACGAAAATGTACACGTATAGGGATTAGAGATGTCATTGTCTAAAAAGTTAACATCAATGTATTACGTCGCAAATAACTATTCAAATAATAAGTCGCAAAGGTAGCCAAGACCGACAACTTAGTGTGCCTTTCAAAGCATGGAAGTCAAAGTGCAAATTAACTTTCAATTAAAATATTACAAACAAAGAATTAAAAGTCGTTTGACCTTAGAATGTTAAAATAATAAACAGTATGTTAACTTTGAAATAGTGCCCAATTATTCTTGTGTAGGATTTTATTCTATAAAATATTTGAATACACAATAGAGTTCTAAATTCCCAGAATTTAAGAGTAAACCAGCGATTGTCCGAATGCTCATGAACTCAGGTTAACAGGGAAATTCTTAGGAAAAATGCAATCACTCATAATGACCTACTATGAAATTGTGAAAAAGTATTATTTTATATATTTTACATACAGTATGAATATAACTAGAAATGTAACTTGATCTAAGGCATAGATATACACAGTCAATTTTTTTCTGTACATGAAATACTATAGCAGATTTGCCTGCATGGCTTCTAGGGAAATGTTTAGCAAGATAAAATGTAGCCTCTATGTTAATTCCAGCTTATACCAAACTTCATCAAAATCCCTTCAAACAATAACAAACATACATACATCAATCCTCGCAAACATTTATAATATTTATTGTAAGTTGTATTTACCCTTCAGTATATTCTGCTTGTAATAAACCGAGATATGCTTCCCACTTGTTGCCAATTACTTTACCACAAGTAAAGCAGCGCACTGGAATTATCATGTTGGTATCTGTAATAAGGATGACAAATAAGCACCACAAAAATCTTAATTTATATATCAATTATTTTTAAAATAATCATGTTTAAATGATCTTCTTTAACGAAAAATGCTACAATTATCTGCTGCACTAGACTCGGATAGCGAACGTAACTAACTGCTGTTCAGGCAAGTGAGCTATCGAAGACCTTCACTTATTTACTTTTGTTGCTAAAAACATATTAACTATCGATAATCCTTAATACTTACTACTCTATAATGCTACTCTAATAATGCGAAGCATCGAAATTTTCATAAGATAAACAGTAATTTAGCGTCTTGCGAATGAAAAATTATAAGGTTATGTTTGGGTATGAAAGTTACATTACCTTTACGATTCTTTTTGCGTGACTTTATACAAATGTAATGAAAAACGTTTTGCCTTTTTAGGAAATGTATTCAATATAATAAAAAAAAACAAAATTAAGATTCTAGAGCGCTGAAACTGTGATATGAAAACACCAATATTCACTGACAAATGACCAGAGTAGTGCAAATGACAATGACGCACAACTTTGACAGCTTCATTGACAGAAACAACTTAGAGAGGCAGGCAGTGTTGCCTATTCAATTAAAAATATGGTTGAACATTCCGAATCGTACACTGTAGGCCCTGTTTAATAAGACGACATTATTAAATTAATTACTGTATCGTTTTACAAATTCGACTGAATTTTAAGATAACTATATAAATTATATCATAATGATGAAATAATCTTCTTTTCAGGGAAGGAATTTCAAAAGAAGATGACTCTCAGCATGGAACAGCATATAACCACAAACGACATTCAAACGGTATGCATATATGTATATATACAGTTGAAGGCATACTCAAAGAGAGAATGGTTTGACTTATTATTCAATTTTATGCTCCGACTGCATGTTACGTATGTTGTTGCATAGCTTATTTTACAGGTGGGTTTTTTTATATTTATTATATGGATAATTATATGATTTTAAGCCTTTTATCCATATTATTTTTCCACCAACATTTATTTCTACAGTCTCACTAATATAGAATATATATTTTTAATAAATCAGATTTCGATTATTTGCATTGTTATAATATAATTTTTGTATGAATACAATGAATTGAGGCACATCCCTTATGCTGTTTGTTTGACAGTTACTGTTTTGTTGTAGTAATGCTCTGGAGTAGAATTTTGTGAGTCACTGAGCTATTTAACTACCTCACTTATATTATACTTGAGTTATTAAATCACTCTTGTAAAAATTATAAACGTGCTACTCGAGTGAGAGTTCTTTAAGTAAATTACCCCTTTAGATACCTAAATAAACTAGAGTAGTGATGTGGCATCTAGTGGCAAGAGAATCAATTTGATGTTCCGATTTGACTCGATAACTCGGGTGCATAGAGATTCGAGTAACATTCGAAATTTTTATCACTTGAGTTCGAGATTGAATAATTAACTCAAGTGATTGGAATAATAACATTGCTTGAGTGACATTACTATTTTGTTGACATTGAATTTGACATATTTTTAATGTGTGATTTGGTTGGGTGTGTTGTGTATTTTTGAGAGAAAAATAGTTTTATTATTTAATTTATTAGTAAGCCTTATAATGAATTTTCTAATAGATAAGAAATAATATGACTTAGTTCGATTACAGTGCATATAATTATTATTTGTGTTGCTCTAAAATTGTATAGTATCAGCATCAAACAATAAATGTGAACCAAAACCAAAGAAAACCAAAATTTTTAAACAACGCATAAACAAGATTACTGAAAAAAAAAAAACATATAAACATATGATTATTATTTATTGATATAGGTGTATTTAAAGTTGGTTAAATTAGTATACCTTAATAGAATGTTAATATTACGAAACAATGGAATCAGATGACGATATTACCCCACTAATTGAAGACGTTGGTGAAACTCTTCATCAGATATATCTGGAACTAAATACTCAACTACTGCAAGTAGATTCTGAATTTGAACAGGTAATAAAAAATAATAATATTGTTTATTTCATTCAACAACAAAGAAAACCTTTATTCAATAACCTTGAATGACATGCATGGTTCTTATCAACATTAAATATAGTTAAACATATGTTGCATTGACACATATTAAAGCAGTTAATTGTTTCATCCTGTTTAGATAACTTGCATATTAGCAAAACAATAAGCATTGTTAATTATCCATTATCACTTAGCTGTGTGAAATTGATGTAAAGTTTTCTATATTATATAGTATAATTTTGACACTATCTTTAAAGTTATAGAAATGCAATATTAAAAATATATTGACGCTGGAAAGCAAATACATAGTAACCTGCAAAAACAAATTTGATGAAAACCAATTTTAAATTGGTGTTAAAACTATCTAGGGAAGCATTCAAAGTGTAAAACAATAATAATGTTGTTTACCATATTTTATGAGGATATTGTATTTAAATACTCATAATTTATTTGTGAATTGGAATATAAAATCATAACAATTCCTTTTTTTTTCACTGAAATTCCCTTTTATTTATCTCACAAATTCCAAGACATCCTCTGAATCTATGAGTCTCCGAGCTTACAAGTTTTTTAAATAGTTAAATTTTAAACATGGTTTTCTTATTATTTTATATAATATATATTATAATTATGGTCTTAATTCTATGGATAGGTCAAAATTATCACTTAATACCAAATAGAGTACTCAACTTATTAAAATTTCATATGTATGTAATTATATTTCAGGTAGTATATGGCTACAAAAAAAGTCGATGGCGAACAGTGATGGTGTATATTTTTTCATCATTACTTGCCTTCATACCATGGCTGGTCTTCCATTGGTGTCCCACTTGGTTCCTGTATCTAACTTGTGTGCGGAGTTGCTTCCAGTTAGCTGACCATGTTTTAGTTATTGTAAGACATATATTTTTGTATTTTTGATATTTTAGATTTTCTTTAGGCTGTGTATTATGCAGGGATTGTAATGTGAAGCTGTTTCAGGCTACATCTTTAAAAATTTGATTGTGATTGCATATGTAAAATAGCTACTTCAAAAACCCCATTTTCAAGGAGAGGCAAAATTTGTCAATTTTGTATGTAGCACATTCTAGTACTAATTAACAAGTATAGAATGAATAGGGACTTTGCCCTTGTTAATTATAGCCTATAGCAAATGCATATGATGTAGCTACCCTTAGATGAAATAATTTTCATTTTTGGATCAGTAATTAGAAGATTACCCCTATAAACAAACAAATTAAGTGGCATAATGTAAAATTTGTTTTAATTTTTTGCAGGAAACATATCAAAAGAAATGCAAAGATTTTTACATACATAAAATTATGGAGAAGAACATTGCTAATACGAGGTATGCACAGTAAAAATATTTTAAAATATGTTAATGATATGCAACTTTTTGTGACTGAAAACAATGAAAACAATGCCTTTGCCATCTAACATTTAAAAATCAAGAAATAACACCAATTACAACTTGTAGTTGATTGATATAAAAGAAATAATTTCTATTGTTTAATGTAAGATTTGTTTAATGAAGTTTGATTTTACTCATAATCTATAGTTGCAATTTTGATTTAATAACAATTTCAATGATGCGCAATCCCGCATATTCCTGTGCTGGATTGACTAACACCACTTATAATTTGTCCATAGCTCTGGTACTAATGAGGAATTAGTTTTCAATGGGAATACAACTAACTGGTTTTAGGGGTCTGGTTTCGTTGCATGGGTCTTATACCTCAGGCAGGAGTTGAAAATCAGTGTTTTGCTCTCTCTGAGCAAATATATTGCTGAACTTTTGCCTTTTTGCATTGCTGTAACTCACATGCAAGAATAAGATTATAGATTTAAGTTCTTAGATTAAGATTTAATTGTTAGGCATGTAAAGTGATGCAAATAAATACTATATCTATCTATCTCATGCCCGTGTGATAGAATGAGACTGCAAATTCTAATAGGGCAGTAGAACTATTCCTAATGACCTGCAAATACCGACTATGTTGGGAAATAGATTGTCAATTGAGAAAACAATGGTTTCGCCTGTCAATAAATTGTGAACCGTGGACCATTGTTAAGCTGATAGTTAAGCCATAGATATTATTGATTTTATGTTACCCTTTTTATATATAGAATGTTATGGAAATATATGTATTCAACCATTTTTTTAGTGGCTTATTGAATGAAGGTTTTCAAAGTGAGATCCCTGAAGAGAAGATGCCTGTTGACAGTCCAGATGTTTTGCACACACCTATACGTTTGGATGACGGCAGTTCACTCAGTGAGTAATGAAACCTTTTCTCAAAACATGTCAGATCTATTTTTCCCCTGACTTTATCAAAAAACTTTAGCTAAGAAGTTTTATACAGTCAACAGCATGTTAGGCTACACAGAACGGTCATATCTTTCTTTTATTTCGCTTTGATTTTAAACCTAAATGCATGGGGATGGAGTTTAAAAAGAATAGCAGAAATTTGTTATATTGTGTTGCTTTATATACTTTAAAATTCAGAGTACAATGGTTGGATCAGTATTCAAGGGACAGGTCAAAATACCTTTCAAATGAAATATGCTGACTGTAGCTGAGAGATAGATATTCAAAGTCATTTATTTTAAACAAAATCTTGCACATAAATATAAATAATATTAAAACGAAATCTTTTAGCTCTTTCTTCTAGCAATTGTGTAAATTGTATCTATTAATCTGCCGTGTAATAGATACTTAAATAAGGTTGGTTGTTTACGTGTAGATTTGATACGGTACCGGTATTTCCGTCACAAGAAACAGTCGTTCATATGGGACGGTGTGCGGGCGCAGTGGGCGCGGCTAGCGGGCATAGAATGTGGCGTGACTTGTGCTCAGTTACAGGCCATGGGGGCGGCAGCACCATCTAGCGAGAAAAGAGTGCGCATGTAAGTATATAGAAGTAGAAATAGCCTGTGGGGCTGGGTCCGGCGGAGTCCTTGCCGGATCCTCGCAGCGGGTTTTACCAAGTAGGCCGGCCTCGCTTCTTTTCAGGACGGGTCCAGGGTTGGAGAGCCCTGATTTAAAGCTTAAGGTTGCATTTTCCTTGCGTTGCGTAAAAGGGAAATGCAACCTTAAGCCTTAATCTTGTAGTTTGGTTTGTGCAAATGATGGAAGATCCATCGTGTATCATTAGAACTCACAAATATATAATAAGTGATTGATAGCAAAACCTTTTAATCCCTTTTAATGAAAACTTTGGGAACTTAGTAGTATGAAAGCATTCTCCTTTATGTCTACATCTATGTAGTATGAAAGCATTCTCCTTTATGTCTACGTCTGCGCAAAATAAAGTTAAGTATGCTGCCAAAGCCAGTGACTCACAGATTTTATGCCATTTGTAAGTAGTTTCATGTGTATGAAATAAGTTTAATAAAACTTGTCATCGTGCGTGACATTTGTTTCATGCAACTATGATTTCCAATAAAAAAATGACATTTGCGCTCGATATAAATTTCGATTCGTAATCTGTTTCTTCGGTACTTTCAATTTTACATTCATGTACTTCACGCTGCAACTATTTTTTTATAGATATTTAATGCCTTTGAAATGAATTGCTATATATCTTAAAATAAGATTATTCGCCCACTGATGTAATAATTTGTGTTGTTTCAGGCTTAACATATACGGATTGAACGAAATCAAAGTGCAAGTCCAGTCTATAGTGGCTCTAATTCTTTTGGAAGTTTTCAATCCATTTTACGTGTTTCAATTATTCACGATAGCGGTTTGGCTAGCGGAGCCCTACTATTATTATTGCGCCGCTGTTGTCATCATGTCGACGTTCGGTGTTGCCACTTCCGTCATACAAACTAGGAAGGTAAGTGTTGCCAGTATTGAAAATTTTTTCACCTTGATATTTTGTTTGTATCTCCACAATCATATAATTATCACCGAGTAATAAGAGTGACGTACTTATAATTATTTAAGTTTATTTGTTTAGTATCTATATATTTTGTTAATGTTTTCAATGTTGCCTTTGCTAAACCTCAGGTTTTTTCAATAGGTAAAAATACATGAGGCACCATTATTCCACCATTCAAAGATCACCACGACCAAAAGCTAAATTTGCCTTCTGACTGACAGTATAACGACTGCTCAAACAGTCGGCGTTGCGTAAGCTCATGGGTTCGAGTCCCATTTCAGAGTGCCAGGGAGAAATTGGATTATTTATGCATTTTTCATTAACAATATTTTTCAGTATAGCATTGTGAATGATCAAATATCGGTGATAATATGTAGTGATTTATAATAAATCGCAACTGACTGTTTGATGTATATCTTTGGTTTGTTTTAAATTATCATTTAATAATTTTATATTAATTTAAAAATCCTAAATCTTCTCATTCACCGCTTTGTTTTGCTAGTATATATCATAGTTTCCATGAACGCCCCCGGTATTTTATACATTCTCTAGGTATTGTATACAATACCTAAATTATACAGATCGTAACATATATATCTCTAGCTAGAATATTCGCTGGGTGCGAGATAGATGCACGCACCGTGGCGATAAACGGAACTTTTTTCAGACGAATTGTTTACTTTTATGTTTGCTTGTTGGTGGATCTCGGTGTCGTGTATGATTGCTCGAAATCATGTTATTATTATAATTAATTTGGCCATTTTTAAATGAAAATATGTACACAAAAGTCAGCATTATAATCGACACTAGATTTACATGAATAGTATCTAAATAAATTACGATATTAATAAATAACTATTCGTACCGAATGTCAGCCATTTTGACATATCAAAGTCCGACATAATAGGGATGACGAGTGGGTAATAAAAAAGAAATTCAATTTAGTCAGTCAGTTAGATGATAGGATAATATTTGACACGTATTTTACTTCAATTTAACAAGAGTAGCTCGGTGGCGTAGTGGATAAGCGCCGCGGCCCGCGATCGTTGTCGTTAAGCAATTTTTGCAAGGGTCGGTCACGGGATGGGTGACATAAAAATATTATCTCGAGCTACTCCGTGCTTCGGAAGGCACGTTTAGCCAATCCGCATTGGGCCAGCGTGGAGGGTCATGGCCCATCCTCCTTAACCATCCATAAGGAAGGCCTGAGCCCCTGCAGTGGGACGTGAAAGGGCTGATGATAATGATGATAACAATTTCTTGTTATCATCATTATCATCAGCTATTTCTAGCTTAGATAACAGACATTAAAGTTGAGGAGTGTGGATTCGCTACGTCACAGTTTTCTAGAAAATATACAAAAGTGTGACGTCATGTGACATTGTAACTCCATGTATCGCAGTACTTTAAAATTAAAAAATACACGTTTAATATTTTTCAACAATCTACCTGACGGACAAACAAAGACAAATCAGTCGTCTATCGTGACCGCTAGATGGCGCTGTCATCGCGCAGCCAGCGAATAGAATGTGTCGTGTTTTGATTCAGAACCAGCAAAGCTTGCGCGCGACAGTGGAGGCGTACGACACGGTCCGGCTGTGGGACGGGCGCGAGGTGGACAGCGGCCACGTGTCCCCCGGGGACGTGCTGCTGTTGCCGCGCCACGGGTGCGTCATGCACGTGGACGCCGCGCTGCTCAGCGGCTCGTGCGTGCTCAACGAGAGTATGCTCACAGGTAACGGCAAGCGGCACCCTAGTTAAACCAAGGTCGCATTTTCATCTTCACCTACAATAGAACTTCATCTACGATAGGCTAGTTGACATTTTTTAAAATTTATTATTATAAATAAATTGTCCATTGATATCTGAGGAATAATGTAGAATTAACAGCACGTTTGCGATTATTAGTTTTGGAGATATTGTGCTGTGTTTGTGGAACTGCTGCTAGTTAGCCGAAAACGCTCCCTACAAATTCTAGCCATGAAGTGACGTCATACAGTGTTACGGTTACAAGAAACTTCTGGGCAATCTTTGTTATTTTTGTAAATTAATGTCATAAAATTCGTTTTGTTAAATATCTATAAGTTAAAATGGTTCATATTTTCCGAACATTGAACAGAAAGCTGTATTTTAACTTGTAGGATGCAACCCTATTATAGGGATGATGACTGGGTAAAAAAACCGAAATTCTATCGAGTCCGTTAGTCAGATAATAAAAAAATGTTTGATACATTTATTTTTTGCTTCAATTTAAACAAGAAATGAACTATCGATTTGTGTTAATTTCTAAGATATACTCGTATTTTAAGACATATTTACATTCCAATCGCACAAGACTAATGGTATTGTTGTTATTTTTTTTCAATAAACTTTAGCAATTTCTTTCAAAGTTTTAGTGACTCACGTTATGTGGCTTTTTTCGCACCTATGTACCTATAGCCTTTACTTGGTTTTTGCTGTATTTTACTGTATTAAATATAGAATAACATTTTCCATGAAAAGTCTCCTAAATAATACTATTTAAATAGTCACGGTCACCGAACATAAAGAATTTCGTTCAACGACTACATATCTCTTTCACTCATACGCAAACATATTGCTATTGCGCTCGCACATATGCATATAGCCAAGTTTATCAGAGTCAAATGAACCTTAAATATTTAAGATATCTATCCATAGGCACAAGGTCAACGAAATTATTTCCGTTTGGAGACCATATTAAATTTGTATTTTTTTTCATTAGAATGACCGTATTTTTTGTTTTTATTGATATTATATACATTTTGTTTTCAGGAGAGTCGGTACCGGTAACGAAAACTGCCTTGTTACGTATAGACAAACCATTCGATATGAAGGAGCATGCTTCCAGTATATTGTTCTGCGGCACGAGAGTGATACAAGCTCGCCAACACAACGGCGAACCTGTTAGGTGAGCTAATGTGAAAATAAAGTAGAATACGCAGTGGATAAGCGCCGTGACCCTGATCGCTGCTGAGCAACTTTCGCAAGGGTCGGTCACGGAATGGGTGACCGAAAAATGATTATCTCGTGTTACTCCATGCTTCGGGAGGCACGTTAAGCAGTAGTTTCCATCTGCATTTGCCGTTAATTCTCTCCAGCTTTTGGGCCACCTTATTAGCAATGACATTGTGCACTTATTTTGACGTGGAAATGGAAAAGCAGCATTTTCCTAATATACATTCGCATTAACGTATAATAATTAAAATGACAATTTAGCTTTTAAAATATGTTTTTCTTTCGCTAGGGCTTTGGTCCTTCGAACCGGATACAACACTAGTAAAGGCCAGTTGGTCCGCAGCATTCTGTATCCGGTCCCGGCTGACTTCAAGTTCGATAGAGACTCTTACAAGTTCATCATCATACTGGCTTTCATAGCTCTGTTAGGTCTTGCTTACACTGTAGCCCTGAAGGTAAGTAATTTTATAAAAGTCTATTTTTTACCAAACGTGTTATAGAGGATACTTGGAAATATATATAATCGCGAAACGAATAAGCGTTAATTACAATTTATATTTAATTTTTTCTTTTATATTTAAAATTCAAAAGTACTAACTTTTTCTTTGTTGTTGTATAAATAAATTACTCTTGGGTTCATATTTATTGTAGGTATCTTTAGATTTATTTGACTTCTGTTATTTTTTTAACTAGTTCGGCACATGAAGTCTATGACCAAATACAACTCAACAGCTGTTCTTAGGGTTGTGTTGTATTACCAAGCACCCAAGTTACCGTTAATCTGTATAATCCGGTATTCGTTACAATACCTAGTTAATATATACAATATCTAAAACGTAGGTAATGTACGTTAAAGATGAGAACAAGGAAGAGGGATGTGCGGGCAGACAGGCAATAAAGGTGTTGCGAATCTATAACTATCTAATAATTCTTAAAAAATAGACTTTAAATCCATTAAGTTGTCGGTCACGTAAAGTCTGAAAAAATAACCTCGAAATGAAATTTCTTACCTGTCACGTGACCTACAGGTATAAGATAGTAAGATAGGTTAACATTGATAAATATATACCGAGATCTATCTATTTACACATTCCCTAGGTATTGTATAGAATTATACAGATTGCCAAAATAATGGAAACAATATTTTTAACGGAAAAACTAAGATCATGAATTTAGATAATAGGAATAATGTGTAACCCTTGCTTCTGTTATGAGGTAAGTAAAGACGAACTTTCGTAGTGTCTTAATGAAAATATAATGAATTTGATCAACAGGCGTACAGGGAACTAACTCCCAGTGATATAGCGATCAAAGCGCTAGATATAATCACCATAGTGATACCGCCCGCATTGCCGGCGGCCATGACAGTAGGCAGGCTGTACGCGGTGACGCGGCTCAAGAAAGCGCGTGTGGCTTGCCTTAACACAAGAGCTGTCAACGTGAGCGGCTCACTCGACTGCATATGTTTTGATAAGGTACGTATCGGGTGTGCAAATATACTTTTGAAGTACATTTATAGTAAGATAACAATTAATTTCAAGTGTCGACCAATCAGAAAGATTCATGTATTACACTATGGGGTGAACCACACTGAGTTGTATTTTACACCTTATGTTTATTGAAACAAGACTAAAATTTTAATCGTAGTACTGAATTACTTATATTACTGGGACAAAGCAAACTTCTATATCTGGGATTCGTTCTTTCAATGTAATTATTCTAGTTACCTCTAAATTACTCTATATTGGGAGAACTACTACTTCATAATTATAAATTTTGTGCTTATAACGTAATAACTTCATAGTTAAATTCAGTTTCCTTTCATTTACAACCTTCTTTTTTTAAAAGAACTACTCAAACAAATTGGGAAACATTATCAATATTAAATATAACAAATTTGTTATCCTTGAGTTTTAGAGGTAATTTTTAAATTCATCGGTAAGAAAATTTAATATAAATCACTTTTGCAAAAACAGTTCGTTTATTTACAACAATCAATCTAAAGCAGGGATCATGTCTGGGTATAAAATCTATTTAGTCCGTCAGTCAGATAAAAGGAAATGTTACATAAGTTTTTTTTTTGCTACAAGTTAGCAAGAAATGACTTCAATAAACTACTATGGAGAAAACCTACATAGGTGTGACGTCATGTGACATTTTAATTCAGTCTATCGCCGGAGTTCACCCTTGACGCATAAAATAAATACGTGTTAAATATTTTTCAATTGTCTACTTGACTGACTAACGGCCGGTTGCACAAACGTCCATTAAGGTTTAATGACTCCTTTAAGCTCTAATGAATGTCATATTTGCATGGGTAATGTCGCTTTAACCGAATTACATTTTTAATGGACGTTTGTGCAACTGGCTGTTGAAAGGTTTTTAGATATGATGCTTATTCTACGTTAACGTGTTTTAGACGGGCACATTAACAGAAGATGGTTTAGACATGTGGGGCGTGGTGTCAGTGAGCGCGGCTACAATCCCGCCCACACTCGGCCGCCCTCATCGAGACCCGCGGACAATAAACGATCTACACGATCTGAAAATAGCTATGGCCACATGTCACAGCCTAACATTCCTCGATGGACAGCTGGCAGGTGATCCGCTAGACTTGAAGGTAAAAGTCCAAGTCATTCATTAATTAAATTGGTTTTTGACAGTTATAACAATCAATCATGAAATATGTTGGAAATGGTAACTTATATCTAAACATGTGAATATTTAGAAAGTTTTGTTTTGAAATAAATTGGAAGTTTATTTTATTTTTGCATAAATAACTTTCGATTTATTATCTGTGAATTATAAGTACCGAAACTCGGGCGGCAATGACGCAGTATCACGTGACGTCACATTTCGATAAACTAAATGTCAACGTACGAGTGATACCAGTACTCATGTTATTGAAATGTTAGGCCACGGCCCGAAATATCACGTAACTGAATGTTTTCGTAAGACAATTTAAATAAAGAAAGAAAAACATGGTTTTTTATTTATTTTGGTTGTTTTATTAAACGGCGTGCGAACCATTTCCGTACCCGAGCGATTCGCACGCCGGTTTTAAGGTGTCGCCATCTCTGAGGTCCCGGGATCGATTCCCGGTCGGGTCAATATAGAAAATGAACTTTTATATATTGTCTCGGGTCTGGGTGTTGTGGTACCTTCGTTGTCTCAGTTGCTCCATAATACGGGGGCTTTAGCTACTCATCTCGGAATCTGAGCAATGCCTGTGATGTTATTATATTTTAATGATACTTTTTGGAAAACATATGTTTTACTCATCTTTTAAAAAATTAACATAAAAAATGGTTCAGCGCTCAGATAATACAACATGTCCATTCTTGTCTATTAAATATCACATATTTATTTCAACAGATGTTTGAATCAACCGGTTGGACGCTCGAAGAGTCCGAGGCGCCTGATCACTCTAATTACGAGGTCATAACACCTACAATCGTCAAACCAAAGAAGTCTGCCAACATCAACGTAGATGATATACACGTAAGTGTAGCAAGTTACATCATCATCCTGTTAATTGCAGGGGCACAGTCCTTCCCTATGTATTAGATCACAATAGAAAATCAAGCCATAGGCCACCAACGAGCCCAGTGCGGTTTGGTGGGTGTTAACGATTGCAGATAAAGCGAAGATCAACGGCTTAACGTGCCTGCTCGAGATAATAAATTTTTGGTCAACCATCTTACGACTGGTCCTTGCAAAAGTTCTTTAACTTCCGTATCGCATCACATATGACCTTCATATTTTAATATATGATGAATTTATTTTTTATTTTTATGTACTCTAACCATTTTATAATATACAAAGATTTTAGGTTTATTACAAAAATAAAACATAGCAAGGAATTCTGTCACAACTCAACGGTCAATCATGTAAAGAAAATAGTCAATGACTTTTTTTATTGTTTAGAGATATTAATTTACCTTTAACAATAAACTGAATGTAAAATTTACCAAATTTTCAACTGAAAGTTTAAAATACTTCATTCGTCAGTCCTGTTGGGTCTCGGGTTAGAGTAAATAATTAGAGCTGTCACCTGGATTTGTGGGTTCACAAAGCTTTTGAAGCTCTGGGTTCAAGTCTGATCATATGGTGCCCGGGACTGGTGAATATTTCAAGCATTTTTTGCATGAAGTTGTAGTTAAGTAGATGTAATATAATATTAATTTACGTTTTTGGTAACTGCGTCAATTAAACCCCTCGTTTGTAATAAGGCCCACATTAGAAATGCGATCTTATACACTTAATATTCATTAAGAATACTTATATTCTTGTTCAAACATGTGTATCGGTCATACAAAGTTTGAACAGGTATTTTAGCACGAAATCGGGTCTTATTACACGACGGCGTTCATTACCGCAAATACCCAATTTTATACTCATTGTCGTGTATTGCTACAGATGCCCTTAGAAGTGGGTATAGCACAACAGTATCAGTTCGTGTCGTCATTACAACGTGCCTCTGTAGTGGTACATATGCGTGGTGAAGATGTACTAAGAGTTTATACTAAAGGAGCCCCTGAGATGCTCAGAACACTATGCAAACCGAACACTGGTAATCATAATTCATTAATTTTATAGAAACTTAATTGTTTCCAGCGACTTTGACCGCATAAATTATAAGATATGTCACCCGCGTATGATACATCTTATTCTAGGTGAAAGAATTTTTAAAATCGCCCGAGTAGTTTCGAAGTTTATTTAATGCAAACAAACAATTAAATATTTTCTCTTTCTACTATCAGTATAGAAATACAAACAAAAACATGAAATCGACTTCAAAAAGCTTTATAAAAGTGAAAAATTACTCATGAAACTTCTATTGAATAGAATAGTAATAGCAGTATTTTTTTTATCGGGGGCTTTGTTTAGGCTAATTAAGTAATTTTCTGATTGCAATAAAAATTGTCTGAATTGATTTTCACTTTTAACGTGTTTTTGTACAAAAAGCAAATGTTATTATGTAATTCGGCCGGGCTTATGATGGTTTTTTGAAGTGAGCTTTTTTATTATTTTTTTATTTATTAGGGAACATCCATATTTTGATGTCTGAGCAATTTGTGTTTCCATTGATATATTTAAATATACTATTAATTCGGAAGTATATTGGTACAAAAATTATCAAATGTCAAAATCGAAATGACAGCGCCCGTTCACTGACAGATAAGGATGCCCGTAGTGCAATCGGCAAATAGTGTTGCCCGTTGTAGAACTTTTCCCTTTAACAATAAATAGATTTTGTAAAATTGTCTCAAAAAATGTAATTTTGATTAGTGCCGGAGAACTTGAACGAGGTGTTGAACTCTTATGCGGAGAAGGGATATCGAGTTATCGCTCTAGCTACCAGAATCATGGAGACATCTTACAAGGATCTGATGAAGATGACCAGGGATGAGGTACACTCTACATTTTCATATTGTATAAAATAATAGAGGATCGGAAAGTAATAATATAAAATTAAATTCCAATTGGTTAAAAAGTTAATAACGTTGAAAGATTTATTAGTCGAATATATTTGATAAAAAATAATGGTTAATATTTTTAAATCGATAAACTATAAAATATTGGTAATATTTGTAATCAGTGTCTCATATCAAACGAAACACCAAGAACGTGTAACGTCATTTATGACTGAATCGGTAATGAAACCATCTTGCGCTCTTGCGAAAAGCGTGGAAAACCGCGCTGATATATAATAAAGTGTAAAATTATTTTAATTATTTACCGATTGTTTAACATTTCACAGGTCATTTTTATATTTTATATATTTATGTGTTTGAATATAAAAACAGCATAACGATGATCCAATTTTTTCACCGATTATATATTTATTTATAAACTCACAAAACAGGAGAGAATTGTAAGTTAACGATACGTATTGCTATCCATAGAACTCTGTCTCTGTCGTTTCCGCGAAGTACTGAGTTTTAGCGTACGGGTGGGGTCTAAAGCGTCCTCTACAACCAAACGTAGCACTTCATTGAAACGACACAGAGTTCTATATGTAGCGAATCTATGTTTATTGTCAACAATCACATAAAACTTTGGGTCGTTGCACATTTTTTCGCCGGCCCTAGGAATAGACTAAAGTTATTAGAAAAAAGTACCTCACTTCTTCTTATTGAGCATTTAATGTATAATGATTGTAGGTGGAACGTGATTTGGAGTTTATCGGTTTAGTTATAATGGAGAATCGTTTGAAACCAGCCACTACTGGTATCATAAGGGAGTTGAAAGAGGCTAACATACACGTCGCCATGATTACGGGTAAGTTACATTAGTATACAACCGATGTGGCACACTAATGTATAGTTAACAGCACGTCAGGTTATACATAACTCTCAAATTTCTGTACTTGAATTTAAACCTTAATATGTTTATTGTGGGTAGAGTTCAAAATCAATTGCGGAAATTCAAGTATTACGCTATCCAACGATCTACCAATATCTACCATACCGTTGCTGTGGTAACCCTAAAAGTAACTTCGAGTTGTGACGTCACGTATCATTAGCGGTGTTTGATATTTGTATACTTTCGAATCGCCTTCGTGGTTTTCTCGTTTGTGCAACATTTTTAATTGCTGCTCCAATCCTATTGGCCATAACGAAGGCTAATACTTCTTCAATGAATGGACTATTCAACACAAAATATTTTTTTCAATTCGAACCAGTAGTTTCCGAGACAAATTCAACCAAACAAATTCTTCAGCATTATAATATTATCATCCCATTATATACTACCTACCATTGAGTCCAAAACCCTATTGGCATAAGATATTACAATATACAAAGCTGTAACACTAAATAATATTGTTTTTATATAGGTGACAACATCCATACAGCCGTGAGTGTGGCTAAAGAATGTGGTATACTCGTCAGCGGGGAGAGAGTAGTGCACATGACCGTTGATCATAATCACAACATACCTGTTATATACTGCGAGAGCACCGTTCAGGGGGTGAGTAAAAAAAGTATTTTTAAAATGTACCTGTAAATGTTTATTTTAATATAATAAGTCAAAGAAAGAGATATTAGCTAAAATTTAAACTACCTCTTTTTACGATGTCGCCCATGTTCATGACGTCATATCGATATGTAAACAAAAAGGTATACAGATATCTCTGGCACCTGACATATTTCAATATTTTCATACATAAAAATATAATCATTCATACATAAAAAAACATAAAACAACGCCATCTATTGACATTGCCGAATATCTTATTCGTGATTTTAGGTTAAGAGAGCTCGTGATTGTTTGATGCAAATATTGTTTTTACTACAGTCTAGAGTCGGTGGAAAAGTGATGTTGCAAAAGGAATGGGCCAGTGATGACAGCGGGCGGGGCTCGTGGCGGGGCTCGGGGGGGTCGAGTGGGGCCGCGGGGGACGAGGAGGGGGGACAGCCCAGGTACAAGGTCGTCATGAGCGGGGACACGTGGCGGGTGAGTACATTATTATTAAGCCACATGGTATTTTAATACGAATGTTTTATTAATGTGTACAAAAAGTATTAAGATGGTTTTATTACGTAATTTGTAAATTTTTTAAAAATAAAACTGAATGGCAATTTTAATAAGCATAGAAAAAGTATATTGTATTGTGTCCTCGACAGTACAGCACTTTATCTACATAACTGTCGCCATCTAAGACAGGAACTAGGATATAAAATAGGTCGACGAATTGGCTACTTGAGTATTTTGGGAATAGTATTTCGAAATATTCGTATGATCATAAATTTATACATTAATTTAAATTGTCCCCCGAAAACAATCGGTCACGTGACAATTCGAGCTTTCACATTTCGTTGCACTCAACAAAAACGTTGATGTTTAGTTAATTGAAATGTGACGTCACACGATGCTCCGTCGTGGTTATCCGCGTTTCGGTACTTAGGTATGATCCACAGATTATAAATAGTAAGATTATTAATTTATAATTATACTTACGATTAATTTTAAAATAAAATATACAAATGTAAATTCTTTTTCAACATTTTATAACTAGCTTTCGCCAGCGGCTTCACCTACGTGGTCCCTAGGTAAATGTTTAGTGCTGTTATCTAAGTCAGCTAATACCTTATCTGTATACCAAATTTCATCAAATTCCGTTCAATAGTTTCGGCGTGATTGACGGACAAATATCCAAACAAAGAAACTTTCACATTTATAATATTAATTGGATTGTACGGTTTATAGGTGTAACCGTCTACAGAACAATCTGGAACTAATTTAACGTACCTTTAGAATTAGCTTTGAGAGTTAAGAAAGTGACATGATAATAAATATAATGCAGACATATATGACGATTCTTTTTTAATTTTATAAATTTTTTAGTCAAACATTTTTAATCTAATTAGTATTCGTTCATACATAGGTGTTACGGGAACATTACCCGCATATGGTGGGTCGTGTGATAGCTCGCGGGGCTGTTTTCGCACGTATGACATCAGATCAGAAACAACAGCTGATCACAGAATACCAGGCACTAGGATATTATGTCGGTCAGTATTATACTACTCGTACGAATTAACATGACACCCGAGGACCTATTCTATCCTCTCGAAAACCGAAAATTTCGTCAATTTTTCTAAACGCTAATACCGACTCCAAATAAACGAATTTTTCGATAATCTATAATGCAACAGAGGTAGAAGCTAATACTGACTCTGATGCACAGATAAGGGGTCATCCATAAATTACGTCACACGATTTTCATGATTTTTTGCCCCTCCCCCCGTCCTAGTCACAGCTGATCACATTTGTAAGACTCCCCCCTCCTAATGTGATATCACATATTTTGCAAGGTTTTTGTAAAGTAATCAATTAAAGTTCGTGTTTTAACACTTAGATTATAACAGATTTTGAAAGGTGACGACACGAAATTTAGGACCCGCCCACCCCCTCGTCACACAGTGACACACTTCGTCGACCCCCTCCCTCCCCCTTAACGTGTGACGTAATTTATGGATGCCCCCTAATCTTCAAGAATTCACGAATATGATTTTAACATAACAATAAGAACGAATTGAAATTTCGTTCGTAGGAGGACAAATCGAATAGGGTCTAGGTGCCATATTAATAAGTACGAATTATTATATTAAACTAGACTTATTTTAAAACCGGTAAACTGGTTGTATTTCTATTTTTTTTTTTGAATATTTAATACATTAATTTCATTAATCTCACTTTTGTTCTCACTCTCTTCTCTCTCGCTTTAAAGAACATCAAGGCTTGAATAATAACACCCAGTTAATATCAAAATAATTTATTAATTTAAAAATGCTTAAATAAATCACTTTGAGATGTAAAAAAATCACTTTGTCTGAGATGGCTCGGATTGTGAAAGGTCATGGTTCGAATTATAGGACTCGAACCCATAGTGAACTCAGTGCCAGGGACAAGAGACCAGTGGATTATTTAAGCATTTTGAAAAAATAATATTTTTTCAGTTTATCATTGTGTATGCAAAATTAATCAAATATATTAATTAATAATAGGTTTAAATGTCCTAGGTATGTGTGGAGATGGTGCGAACGACTGCGGAGCGTTGCGATCAGCTCACGTGGGTATATCACTATCAGAACTAGAGAGTAGTGTAGCCGCTCCCTTCACTAGCTCACACCCCGACATCGTCTGCGTATCGCGAGTATTACGCGAAGGCCGAGCAGCTCTAACCACCAGCTTCGGAGTATTCAAATTCATGATCTCATATTCCCTAACCGAATTCTTATCAGTCGCCTTTTTATATTACTTCGATTCGAACTTAACCGATTTCCAGTTTCTCTACATAGACGTCGCCCTTGTCGTTAACTTCGCGTTCTTCTTCGGCATGACCGAAGCGTATACGGGTAAGTTGTGTAAGATACCCCCCCTCACTTCGCTTCTAGGTCTGATCCCGCTTTTCTCACTCGTCGGACAGATGGCATTTATCGTTGTAGCTCAGTATTTGAGCTATTTCGCTTTAACCTTTTTCCCGTGGTACGAGAGACACACTTTCGTCGGTGAGGAAGAAAATGAATGTTGGGAGAACTACGCAATTTTCACTGTATCCATGTTCCAATATATAATACAGGCTATAGTTTTTTCACGCGGTTCCCCTTACAGAAAATCTGTTTTGACGAACGCCCACCTGATGATCAGTTTCGTGATAATGACCGCTCTATGCATTTATATAACAATTGCGCCTGCGCAATGGTTAGCGAACTTCCTTCAATTAAGAATGCCGAAAGACACTCTGTTATCTTATATAATACTTTTGATAGCAGCTGTTCAGTTCCTAATAGCTATATTCTTTGAGAGAGTTATAATAGAGTTTATTATGGAAGGAAAACAAATTATACCCAAGTTTTTAAAGGAGAAACGTGTAAATAAAACTCCATATCTATTGATTAAGCGACAGTTGACCGATATGGATTATTTAGATTACAACAGCAGCGTATGTTACGACAAAGAGACTGTTACCGTTTCAGATTCCAGTTCTGGTAAAGGTAGCTGAATTTTGAACCTTAAATTATACAGGCTAAGTTTCATTTTTCATAATTATATAGAATGAGTTATGTATGATTCCATTATGTTTCAGTTACGATTTCTTAGCGTCTCTCTATTCGTGACGGTGGTTAAACTATAGTCTGCACACACAAAAAATCTCCAACCTACTTCAAGCCTTATGTTGTTCTTGATTAAGGTCAAAATTGATTGCAGAAATTAGGATTTTGTAGTAACTTAATGCGCTGCTGTATGTATATTGAAAATAATGCACAAATAACGATCTCTCGTTAGCATTAAATAAATAATAGTCTTAAGAGTTTCACCAAAATATTGACCTCTTTCCTATATTATCGTTGTCCCTTTCATACAGTCGTCATCGGATAATGAGGGCTAATTTCTATGACTAAGAATATATCTCAACTAAGCTTTTCAATTAATAACGCTTCATACGCGACAGACAAAGAAAGAGCTATAGATGTGGGCAGTTAATAGTAGACTCTAGTATCACTGTTTTAAGATTGAAATCCTTTTTTTTGTATAGAACATTTTGTTCGGTTTTTTTTAGGCAAATATGATGTTACCGCTTAAGTGCCTTATAGTTATAGTATATAACTATTATTAGATATTTATTAAATATACCTTTAATTACGTAAGGAGGTTTTTCTACAGAACCGCAAAATATAAAATATGAGTATCAGTATTTTCTTTTTTTTACATCAGCAGGTTATATAACATAATTACACCGATTTTGAATCAGACGTTTCGTTGAATGTACATAATACAAAGGGTGATGTTATAATGTGGAAGTGCTTAGAGATTATTGACCAAAAATATTATGGGAGAGAGTAAATACTATTCTACTTATTGATATTATCTATAGTCTGTTATATCTTTGGAAAATATAAACCATGTTGTCAAAATCAATTTAATTTGCACTCATTATTATTTTTTATAGCGTCTTGTATAACAAAACATAGTACTTCACATAAACGATACAGTATTTTATCTGTAGCGACACATATCGTCTTCTATTATAAAAGATCACATAATATTTCGGGTCATTGTTTGTGTTATGTTTACCTTAAGAGCAGGCTATAGACATTATTTTTTGTTAATGCTACAACCGTGTGATATTTTTAATTTGTTAAAATTCTTATGTGAATTTTATGAAAAATACTGTTGCGTAGTTTATTGCTTAATAAAATAGTTATGTAACTTTATAATGGAATAAACAGTATTTTGATACAAAATCCAAACAAATCGGTATTATTAAATACTGATTTTATAAAGTGTTATATTTTAGTACTTCATTACGAAGTAGAAATTAACAATAATTCATATCAGTACAAATTGAGCAGTATATCTTATGAATAAAAATTATATATTTTATTATACTAATAGCATAATTTATTTAAAGTAATATAAATTATATTTGTTTTATATTTTTTTATTATTATTTTAAGATCTTTGCGCTTATGTGAGTAACAGCTAGCAAAGTGTCGTATAAAATAGTAAACAAGCCTTTAGAAATTCGTAAAGCGATGACCCTTTATTAATTAATATTAACGAGTTTATCAGCCAGTTGCACAGACGTCCATTAAAACAGTCATCAGTTAATTAGACATCATCGATACAAATTTTTGAATTTAAAATATTCATTAGAGCTTAAAGTCGTCATTAAACCTTAAAGGACATTCGTGCAACTGACGGTAAAGGTAATATAATTTTTAACAAATCTTAAATATAAATAATGAAAACCCGTGCTTTAGCCATGCCATGGCTGAAATTATATGGGGTTACGACTATAAATAAGTAGCACAAATTAACAAATACTATTTATGATTGATACATAAAAATATTAATTTACTTTTAAGATTATTGTTATGAATTTTTATAAGCTTCTTTGTATACTAAAATTATGTGATATTTCTCAATTTCGAATCAACCTTATGTTTATGGACATAGATGAGTTTTTATTATATTTTTTCTATATCTCTGAATGAATTTATACTATTTATTAGTGATGATTTTAATAAATTATAAGTTGCAACATACACTAACGAAAACTAATCTACAAGAGTTCATTAATTTGAACTGAATATTATTGTCATTTTAATGTTTTGAACTTCAACATTGTTAGTTAAAGCGCAGGAGGCGATCCCAGTTACCGTTCTGTAAATTACGTGTAAGGACAAGGTTACATTTTTGAAGGGAGACAACGTTTTAAACAATGTACAGCATTATCTCTTTCCAAATTTACTTTTTGTACTGTTCTAAGAACTCGGAGTAAGGAAATAGGAAGGTCAATGAAGTTCAAAAGGTTGAAATGAATAGTACCTTTTTTTACTTTATTAGCTAATTAAGCACATTGTGATAACAATTTATGTACACTAACGTAAGTGCCTTACTAATTTTAGAGTAAAACATTCCATTAATTACGTGCAGTGCAAAACAAAATAGGTTATATTATTGTTCTGTTAGTATTAAGTGCCTTATCTCGTGATGATCAAATGATTTGGTTTAAGCATTAACTGCTTGACTTATTAAAAATTATATAATGACTATATTGATATTAATCAAATACTAATCTTAATTCTATATACACTACTACTGGACAAGCAACTCGGTACTAGAAATTTGTTCGCTAAGTGTCGTGTCAACCGTTAAATCGATTATATTGCCGTCTCTTTTACTCCTTAGTAAGCGAGACGGCAACGCACTCATGCACGCTCCTAGGGCGCTTGTGCACTACACTGAATTTTCAGGTCCGGTGGTCCGATTTTTTCCGGTCCGGAATGACATGAAAAACCCGGATGAATAGCTTGTGCAATTGTCCGTTTTTTTCCTGATCGGAGCGGCGCAGTGTAGGGCAGTTCTCTTTGAAGTTACACGTCACTTACGCTAGGTACGATGAGATTTTTGGAACGTCGGTAATTACTTGCTTTGTTACTCTACGTGTGAAGACGTAGAAAGGTACCTAAATGATGACCTGGTCATTTTACATAAACTACAATAAATTGAGGCAAGACGAAAAATAAAAAGCATTTTTTTACTACTATCGAATGACTACTATCAGATATAAAAATTTATACCATTACTAATTTAGGAACAGTAGGTATTATTCACATACAATAGCTAAAAATATCTATGACATTAGAATAAAATTAATGATAATGTTCTAGTACTTGATGTTTAAATTTATAAAAGTGTTATTTTTTCGAAGTTTTGTAAAAACAACTTAAAGCGATTACAGAGATAGACCAATCGTTGGCGCCATTCGTAAATAAGTCGAAATTAGTACCGTGTAAGCGGAGAATTAATATGCTAAATGAACTTATTAGCAGTGCTGAGCAATAAATAATTTTTCTTTAAGAATACTTTTTTTTTAATTTATTTATGACACAAACAGTATTTTCAAATTTATTACAATAAATACGAAAAAAACATCGAGTGTCACTAAATTACTTCTGTTTGTTCTTTATTATTACTTTATCATATATTTATTTATACTTATCAACTGCCTAAAAACAAATTTTGATATTGACATAACTCTATGCAAACTTTCATTCCCTATTTCCACCTCTTTTTCGCGATAAAATGTAGCCTATGTCCTTTCTCAAGGTTAAGTCTATTTTTGTATCAAATTTCATTAAGATGGGTTCAGTTGTTTAGTCGTGGAAGCGTACCAACATTTATTTGTCTTACCTTAAGTTATTGATACTTTTGATTCGATATTGTTTTGGGACCGATACTTTTAATATGATTCTAAAATCCAGCAAAGCATCGATACTCGCATCGATATAGCATCGATTATCAAAATTAGAACTAATCGAGTTTGTCAAGGCATATGCAGTGATATTTACGAACTATGTTAAATCGTCATCCAAAATATCTAATTATATACTGTACAATAAATATCGATTATCAATATATCGGAAATTACCACTTTTGAACTATCGCGCTGTTATATCACTGTATATCGTTGCGCTTTGTATCGGACACGGAATCTGGAAATTATATAATCAAAGTACCCAAATTGACACGTTTTTACAACAAGTGTTTTCTCCCAGAAATAGTCTACTTTCGAAAAGCTAGATAGACGACTAATAAAATAAAAATTTTTTTGGGAATCTAGCAAAGTATCGATACTAGAACTATACGATTATCAAATTACAACTATATCGTGTTTGCCAAGGCATATGCAGTGATATTTATATATATCGCATTTTATAATTTACAATAAATATTGATTTTTCATAAATGGATTATTTTTTCCCAAGCTTACTCCGCAGGCTCATGAATTTTCCGGATCGCGGACACAGCAGTGCATAAGCGTAAACACGTTTTTCATTGCCGCCATCACGGACCTGAAAATACCGGTCCGGAATAAAGAAAAGTAAATTTCCGGACGGTAAAATTCCTGACAGTGCACATGCTAGCATTACCTTCATATGGCCTGACATATCGGACCGGAAAAAATCGGAACGCCGGATCTGAAAATTCAGTGTAGTGCACAAGCGCCCTTAGGCCCGCTATACACGGACTGCTTGAAGTAGTCAGGATCGACTGTTTCAAGCTACGACTGCGCAGTGAGCTACAGACTTCTACGTACGTACATACACGAACCGCCCAAGCAGTTTCAACTATTTCCTCAGTTACCTCCGCCCACGTATATAATTCCACGTCGCATACGCTTCGTTTGTTTATTGGGAACGATGGACGACAAAATAATAGATTGTGATGTCCTTATAAATAGAAATAAAGAATGAACCCACAATTTATTATTGAACTAAATAACTAACATCATTCATAATCATGAGTCATAATGTAAAACGTGCACTATCTTGAGTTTCAGATTTAAATAATTATCCGACCAAAATACGGTAACTCGTCTCAATTTGACGTTTTCTCTTCAGTTATTGTCTATTTGCTTTAGGCGGTCAATGGTTTTAACTGAAAATGAGACGATTGATGTGCATATTTTTAAGAATTATTTTTCAATGTTGATTAAGAATTATTTTTAAAGATTTTATTGTTACGCGGTTGCATGTCAGGTTAAGTTTTGTTAAGTTTTCGCAGTTGATACTAAACTATATCCTCAACGTTATATATTTAAAATAAAATGGAGAGATTTGATAATTTGCATAAATAAAAGATGACGCTTCATTCGCTCGATTTCTAATTACAATGGAGCGATCTATCTAATTACAAAGGAAAACCTATCGGATTATCAAACTCGCGTGCGTACGCGATTTAATCTGGTGTTTGAAAAATAATCTTATTGTGATTGAAATGTTGTGTCGCGGCCCGCGATCGTAGTCGTTAAGCAACTTTCGCAAGGGTCGGTCACGGGATGGGTGACCAAAAAATTATCTCGAGCTTCTCCGTGCTTCGGAAGGCACGTTGAGCCGTTGGTCCCGGCTGCATTAGCAGTCGTTAATACCCTCCAATCCGCATTGGGCCAGCGTGGAGGGTCATGGCCCATCCTCCTTAACCATCCATAAGGAAGGCCTGAGCCCCTGCAGTGGGGACGTAAAAGGGCTGGTGATGTTATCAGCTTATTGCCGAACAACACGAATTGAATTTCGTTTATGGCGAAAAAGAAACTTGTATCATGTAGATGAGCCTGTAAAGTTAGAATCAAACCGTTTGATCGTCTCGACGGCCATTACAAAGTATAATTAAGTTAATTTAAAAATTGTTTAACATCTGTAGTATACTTTAATTCAATCGTATTGTTCAATTTTACTATTGTATTATGTAATTACCACCAATTTAAATAAAATATGTTAATAGTCAATTAAAATTGAACTATTTTTAATTAAAGGATTTTTATGATTTAAATGTTGTTTTTTTATTATAAAAGCAATTTTTAAAATAAGTATCTGCAGATCCCTTACTTTAACCCGTTTTCACTAACCTAGAACGGGGCATAGCTTAACTAGAAAATGCCTAATCTTACTCATCTCCTAAGCAGATTAGCTTAATTCCAAATAAACATGATTTTTTATCCCTTGACACATTTCTGAAATGGGGAAGTATTTAAAAAATAAAAATTAATTAGTTCTTGAGATCATACTAGATGTCACTCGCGATGTTTGGATTTCGTTTAAGATATTCATTCAAATTTTGTTTCTGACGTAATGAAAGTAAATTGAGTATCAAAAATTAATAAATATGACATCGTTTTGTGTTTCTTATAATATCTCACTTTCAAATTAATTTGAATTTATTTTAATTATAAGTTTAAGTTGTTTATTATGTTACGTGTAAAGGAACGATGTTTGGTTGATACGTGATGTGCCAACTTATTGGTTGCTCGTAACTTCCATCCGATTGAGGAAGTATTTAAAAAAAAAATTAGTTCCCGATATCAAACTAGATTTCGCTACGGTACGTTTTTGATTTCTCCGTGACAACCTCAATAAATAATTCATGTTTTCAAAACTCAATAAATAATTCATATTCTATTTGTACTTTTTCGTATTTGTATTGATATTTAAGTTTCGAACTTTAGAAATTTCAGGTTTTTTAATTTGTTAGTTAAAAGGAACGGAAATGACTATCTTTGGTCCATTAGTTTCCTGCAAAAATCAACTTTTGTTAGAGTCGCCATCTAGTGGAGGTTCTTTTTAGTGCTTTCTTTTTTTTAACTACTTCCTTATCCACTTTTTGTTTGGAATGAAGAACAAAAAGCGGAGCGCAGAATTCAGCTTGTATTTGTATGTGTCATTATGGATCCACAAAACGAATGATATTAATATAAATATCAAAGTCAATTCAGTCTAGGCTGTAACATAGTACTTGTGAAAGTCGAAAACTTTGCCAATGGTTCGCAATACTAAGGCGGGAGATCTTGTACTGACAAGAATCGGCAAGAAACTCAGCAAGGGCTGCTTTTTTAATATCAACTATACTATATTTGAGGGAACGTAACAACCTAACGCACACGACACCACCGCAAAGATTTTAAGAGAGGATGACTACTCTAGGTACTTAGTAAATAATATATTTCAATAGAACTGATTTATAGAGTTGGTTGTGTAGGAATTCAATCTATTATTAACAATATTATTGTAAGAACCAAAAAGCACATACCCACCGTACGAATTAACTTAACACCCCATGTGTTAACGTTACCAACGGTTCCAACGTCCGCCGTCGATATGCAAAATCAGTAGCAATAGTATAACTGTCCGTGTCTTTGTGATTTTGAAATTTAAAGTTATAACCTTGCTGTTCGTTTAGAACAGACGTTTCTTGTTGATTGCTGAATGATTATTAAGATGATTTAATTATGAATATAAGATTTAATAATTGATAATAGTTTTTTAAAGTCTTAATTTCGAAAGCACAAGTTATTTGCACGTTACACTTTGCACAAATATCATTTTAGCCAGAACTCATGTTATTTTGTACGAATACCTAGTATATTTGATACATATTGGGTAAGTATATAGATAATAAACGGATTTTTTATTATAATTATCGTTTTTATGACTTTTGTTGCTGATTAATAAACCCTATTCATTCATTCGCCATACATAATTTAAAAATATTATTGAGACTTGATGTAAGTAGTTTGTTGTTGTAAGTTCAACAAACAACTAATAGCAATAAAACTAACTTACCTCTAGTTGTTATTGTTTTCAGAACTTTTGTTAAATATTATAATGAAAAAATCCTATTCCTACTATGGCATAAGTATTTTATTTA